AGTGGATGGTGTAACAGGGTTACTAGATCGGTTGAACATTCGACCTTTGTTGCACGACAAAATTCGTGAGAAGCAGAAGGAGGACCCAGAGTTGGCAAAAATTATTCAAGATATTGAGGAAGGAAAAAAAAGCCCATTTGAAATGGTAGATGGCATGTTGAAGATGAATGGAAGAGCATGTGTTCCTAATGTTGATAACTTGAGGAAAGAGATCCTAGATGAAGCTCATTCTTCTGCTTATGCTATGCACCCAGGAGCAACTAAAATGTATCACACGATCAAACCATATTTTTGGTGGCGTGGGATGAAAAAGGAAGCGGTTGAACATGTTTTCACATGTCTGGTATGTCCGAAAGTTAAGGCAGAACATCAAGCTCCTGTGGGAAAACTGCAACCACTTCCAATTCCAGAATGGAAGTGGGAAAGAATTACAATGGGTTTTGTATATGGTCTCCCATCAGCAAGGGGAAAAGATGCAGTATGGGTTATTGTGGACCGACTGACCAAATCGGCTCAGTTTTTACCCATTAAATGGAAACCATCACTGAAGACTTTGTCTCAACTATATATTAAGGAGATCGTCAGATTGCATGGTGTGCCAATTTCTATTGTCTCTGATCGAGACCCGAGCTTCACATCTCGGTTTTGGCAAAGTTTACATGATGCCTTGGGAACTAAACTGCATTTTACTTCAGCTTATCATCCTCAAACAGATGGGCAGAGTGAACGAACCATCCTTACCTTGGAAGAGTTACTTCGATCATGTGTAATGCAATGGGAGGAATCATGGATTGATCATTTACCCTTAATTGAGTTTGCTTACAACAACTAGTACCATAGTAGCTTGGGTGTTCCACCATATGAAGCACTTTGTGGGAGGAAGTGTAGAACACCATTATGTTGGGATGTAGAAGGAGCAAGGCAAATCTCAGGGCCAGAGATAGTTCAGATCACAGTTGATAAGGTCAAGGAAATTAGGGAGCGTATGAGGGTGGCTCAAGATCGGCAGAAAGTTTATGTCGACACGAATAGGCGTGAAGTTAATTTTGAAGTGGGTGAGAAAGTATTTCTCAAAGTGTCACCATGGAAAGGGGTGATAAGATTTGGTAAGAAAGGAAAACTTGCACCTCGATATATGGACCATATGAAATCACAGAGAAAATTGGACCAGTGGCTTATAAGTTGGCATTGCCTCCAGAGCTATCCCAAATCCATAATGTATTTCATGTTAGCATGCTGAAGAGGTACAAAGTGGGTCCTTCCCATGTTATACGACCAGAGGAGATCGAGTTAGGCCCAGATTTGACTTTTGAGGAGGTTCCAGTTCAGATTGTTGATCACTAGATTAAGACTCATCGCAGGAAAGAAATCCCAATGTTGAAAGTTGTGTGGAGAAATCAAGATAGTGAGAGTGCTACATGGGAAACTGAAGCAAGTATGCGAGAGAAGTACCCTAAGTTGGTAGCAAACTACTTTGCAGGTTAACAATCTTGCTTAGTAAGTTATGTTTTGAACTTGTTGATGTGCTTTTGTTGTGATAACCCGATATAGGTTTTTGAAACCTTATATTGGGAACTTGAGGTGTTATGTGTTTAGTTATGTACATCATATCTCCTAACCTAAAAGTTAGGTAGTAACAAGATTTATGATAGTGTAGGTTGGGGGGGGGGGGGAATGAGCGGATATGTACTATCGAATCAAGGATAGATTTCGAGGACGAAATCTTTTAAGGAGGGGAGAATTGTTCGCATATTTCGATCGCTAGAAAGTTCGCAATTTAAAATCGAGCATTTCGACACTATTTTGATGAAAATCGGATTATCGATAGATCGGATAAGTATACGTATTAATTATATATATATATAAAGCGGCCGTGCCATATATATTAACATTTCCCCGTCCCCGTCCATTATTTACATCATCATCTCCTTCGGTTCCATTTTTCTGGACCGAGAGCAGAGGCTATTCAGGGGACGCGAGGAAGGAAATTGCAAAGCTCAATTCTTGATCTACAGTGATCCAAAAATCCCGTAAGTAATGCCTAATTCATCTATACATTGTGATTTATCGATTTAGAGCTTAAAACGAGTTTTTGGTTCATGAATTTCTTGCATTCCCGATAAGCCAAATTAGGGTTTCGAAGTATCCGGAAGCCAGATTGAGCCCAAATTTCATATACGAGCTTCCTGCATCGAGGTAATCAATCCTCTAGTTTTAATCCATGAATTTTGGCTATTATTTAGGCCAGGGTCCAAACCGGTGAATTTAGCTCCGACCAGGGTTTGATGTGTTTTTATCAAGAATTTGACCCGGAGCCTACAACTAATATTGACGGGGATACTACAGGGGATATTAGGACGGTCTCGAATTTTAATTTGGGGTTCGTTCGTGAAATTGACGTTTTAGTACGGGAAGGTTAAACCGGTGTTTGAACGACCAGAACTGGTGAGGGATTAGCACGACATACCGGGTTTGTCGTATCACGATAATTATATTGATGCTTAGAATTGACCTAGGTGAACTAGAAAGGCATGATTAGGGGTGTATGAACTTTTGTGCTATATGATGAATCATGGACTACTGTATGATATTATTGACTTTCCCTAATCGAGATGGACTTTGTTTATGCTGATGATTTCGTATATGTTGCAAATTGTGGGCTTGACTGTTGATATGCCTTATGATGGTTCGAAAAGGTGATTGGGTATGATTTTTCATGATTGTTATATTTGGATGCACATGTGGGAAAATATATATTCCCTGGTGATATTATGATGTTTAAGGAGGATGACTTGCACGAGGGTTTATCCCGAGGAAGTGCAATTATACGACTCCTGATTTACCTATGTTGAGCAAATTGTGGCCAGGTCAAGTACATGTGTAAGTAACGAATTATGATTAAGCAAGATGAGATACGAATCATGTATAAGGATATCAAGTAAGAGTGATTTGGTCTCATGGTCAATTACATAGTAATTAGGGCTCCCCGTGCTATTACTCCATTTTGATATGTTATGTCACACCCCTGATGTGGTGTTGACTGTTGATTCATCATGAGATATGACCACACCCAGAGTGGTGTCCGTTCCGATATGACTACACCGGCAGTGGTGGGTCCGATATGACCACTTCCACGAGATGTTTGGTCCGTATTCCTAGGAGAGTAATTAGCATGGGAGTAGCCAGGCGCCTATAAGTAAAACATGATAAGACACACATGCATAAGTCAAGGTGGTTGAGTCTTTTGCCCATTGGGACATGAGGATGGCCGAGGTGCGATCCTAGTGTTTTGGCTTGTTTGCTAGATGTATGGTAGGGGTATGCTCTGTTATGAACTCACGATGCTATGATTATCTCACTCAGCTATGAGCTGACCGTCTTTATCCTTTTTCTCTGCTTATGCCATGTGTAAGCAGATCATCACCAGCAACAGCAGTAGATAGGTGTATAGGTGGGAGTTGAGCAAGAGTTGAAGGCAAGATGAGGTATGGTCTTCAACTATTCTGTGCTTGGACTACTACTCGGGATTTTGGCCAGTGATCCACACCTTTTTGTAAAAATGTTTTGAGAACGTTTTTCATGTGCATACTAGCTTCTGATGTAGTGTGAGATATCCACAGGTGTGGAAAGTTGATGATATGTGTATATGTTGTGTAACTGTGTAAGTTGTGACGATTATGGTATGTATAAGTATGGTATGCAGTTGTGGAGTATGAAAAGTGTGGCTATGGCTAAGAAAAGCCAATGCATTTGGTTGTGACTATATATGTCTGTGATGAATTATTTTGCAGGATAAGTTGCAAGAACTGTTAGCCCATTACGCGAGTAATTCATATCGAAATTTTATTTGGGTAAATTTTGATAATTAATGTAACACCCGAGATTAATTCTGCTGCAATTGTATGAACAATATGATTTGGCAAAACGTATAGGGTAGGGTGTTACAAATACCCTTTTGTAATTTTCGACAACTAATGTTTGTCAGAAAAAATTGTCACAATAATATTATTTGTGATAGATTTGGATTTGTTGTTGTTAAATTTTAGAAAAAATAAAATCTTTATTTTGCGACTAATAATATTGGTTGGGAAAATATTTTGTCATAAATATTATTATTTGTGATGATACTTTATTCGTTGATGACGGTTATTCCAAAAATACCGTTTCGAATTTGCATCAAATAATTTTGGCCGGAAATAAAAAACTTGATACTTAATTTAGTTGTGATGAAATTTCATTGGTCACTAATATGTTTTACGAGGTCCAGTTGTCCTAACAAGTTAAATATGAAGCGTTGGAAATGATGTTACATATCGTCAAAATTATTACATTAATTGTCACAAATAACTTGTCACAAATAAATTATTAAGCGTTGAAAAAGATGTTAGATATCGTCAAAATTATTATCAATGCAATTGTAATACTATATTTTAATTGCAATTTCATAAATAATTAAAAATATTCGAAATAGCTAAAAGACAATTACTTGGATATAAAGAAAGGTGCCATACGATCACCATTGTCTTACATACTGGATAGTTAAGACATATGGTGTACACACCAATGTCTTACATGCACTAAACGAGTGCACCCACAAAACATAAAACACCACCGTCTTTCTTTCATGAAACGAGCGATGCTAAAATCTAACAAAGGAAAAAACACAGCGAATAAACACCACTCATAGCTGCAGACCTCCATTGCACGTCGACCACTGCATCATCAGTTTGTCCCATCATCCTCCTCATCATCTTCATTGTCGTCATCTTCTTCCTCACCATCAACTTCTTCATCATCCTCCATGTCATTGTTGTTTGCAGCCTACATCATCGCATAGAACAGGAAAAGTGGGAATTACTCATTCACTACATACATACATTTAATAATACATAAGAAAAATGGGATCGGACTTACATTGGACGACTCTGGTAGCTGGATTCCAAGCCTCTTCAGCGTCGCCTCAACAACCAAAGGCATATTACAGTTCACCTGCTCGATCTGTTCTTCCATCATTCTCATCTTCTCATCGGTCTTCTCCTTCTTTATCCTTTGATCATCTTTGCATTTTTTGATGCAGCCTTGACTTGAAGTATAGCCAAACACATACAGGCCACTGACCCCACAACCCATCCCAAGCACTCGCTTCCTTCGCTGCTGGCCTACCACCTCTCCATAAATAGCAAACTTGTTCACATCCTCCCCTTTGCTCAACTTCTATGTCTCCTTTGCCTCCATTCCAGCCTAAACAGTTCAAGATAAAAACTACTGTTAGTAATTCTGGTTCCCCTATGCACTTAAACACTACAACACCAAGCAATATGATTGGAATTTAGAATTTGTTTACTTACATGTAGAGCCTGAGCCTTGGGAGTGGTGAAATTATCCTTTGTTAAATGAAACTTCCTGAAAGTCTCAATAGGATCAGGTTCTCTGCCCGTCTTCTTGATCTGCAAAGACACAAGCAATCAACAAGACAACACACTCATACATACAAAAAAGGGTAATCAAACAATAAAAGAAATAGGTACTTTTTTTTGTAACACACCTCTTCCAATCTGTACTTTGCCAAGGGAGCAGAACCACAAGTTGACTTCAGCTCACACTTCTCACGGTTCTCCTTGTTCTTGTCACTTGTATCCTGCAGGTTTTGGAAAAAGCAGAAGCACAACTAAGTTGCTGATTTATATAGCACAATAAACTACTCGACATAGGATAAAAGCAAAAGGTCTTACCACCCAGCTAGGGTCTGACCATTTGCGAACCATTTCCCGCCAAATCTGTGGAGGTATTGCATTTGGTGGATTGTTCATCCTGGCAGCCTCCGTCGCATGCGCCTTGAACACAGGATTGCGGAATGAGTACATCCACTGCGGGAAATTTCTTTTGATGTGTTCCTTGAGTTGAGCATTCATCTCTTCCTCCGGGAGGGTGCAAGCAAATCCCGACTCCTTGAAACGAGCAATCGCGGTCTCCAACTCAGCTGCTGGATACTCACTGAAAGTGATCCACTGTCCACTTATGCTCCTCTTGAAAATGGCCGACATTTCACGGGCTGCTGCTGTTGTCACAATCCTTAAAAATAATTATCACACATACAGAACCACACTATTTTTTAATTGCACAAACACATCGTTATGCAGTTAATGAAAACCGAGCATTTCATACCCATCGTCATGGAATTCAAGTACAATTCCATGACCTGGCTTCACCACTTTTCCAGGTCCTCGTCCATTCCTCTTCTTACCAGAACCTTATTTAGAATACATTGGTCCGTAATTAGACCTTTTACACAGTAAAAATGAAAAAATAAAAATTAACTTAAGAAGATCAAGTGCTTACCCTGGTTTCCTGCCTCTCCATCTGTGCTCATAACCGTTTCATCAGTCTCCATTGCAATGTCATCGGAAGGAAGCTCCACATGCTGAGTTTCTGGCACATTTTCAGATTCATATGTTTGGTCAGTGTCCTGATCAGCAACATGAACACTTTCTTGTTCCTCTGTAGGAGTTGCAAGAGCCTTCTTCTTCAGATTTTTGCGTGTCCTTGACTTTCCAATCTAACATATACATGTAAAGGTCTGTTAGAAAAAGGGGAAGATGAACATATCCTAAAAAAATGGGTAAACACACAAAAACAGAGGCATACTTCGTCTCTTGGTTGTGGTTTGCTAGGGAAAGGTTTTTTTTTTTTTTTTTTCCAAGAAATGTCAAGAGAAAACCTATACAATCTACCCCGACCCTGCCCAACCCAATACATCAGAGAAGCCAACCCACAAAAACAAAGGCGCAAAACTCTAAAGGGGAGAGTAACAGTGCTTTCTGCGCCACTCTATGGGCAGCACTGTTAGCAGTCCGAGGAACTGCCCTAAACTCTAAAGAAATAGAGACGGAAGAAAGGAGAAGGGAGCAATCCCGAAGCACCGGACCTCCAAAGGAGACAGAGAGAGCACCTTGACGAAGCTGCCGAAACACCACCTCTGAATCTCCTTCTATGATGACCCGAGGCAGCACTTTGGAGACTACAAGGGCGAAGGCGTCCCTAGCTGTTAGGAGCTCCGCAAGATAGGGATCAGCAATACCGGGATGGAGAGACCCTAAAGCCAGAGCCACATGCCCATCTGAACTGCGCACCACAAGACCAGACGGGCACCCAGAAGGACGAACAGCAGCATCAAAGTGGATCTTCACAAAGCCAACAGGAGGAGGGGACCAAGACGAGAGGCGAGAATGGGAAGGCTGGGGCAGAGCAGGGACCAAAGGAAGGGAGGAAGACATAACGCGAACTTGGAAAAAAACACTGACGAGCGAGAGACCGGGCATGAGGCTGGACATGCTCAAAGACCACCTTATTTCAAGACTTCCAGATCCTCCATAATACACAAACATATAGGAGAATGTGGGTTTGGGGGTGCTCAGAAAGCATAACATGTCGCCACCAGAGACTGAATTCACAGTCGGGGCCGAGGAGATGAAATCATTTAGACCCATGAGCGACCACAATCTTGTGGCCAAGGGGGCATTTGAAGAACAGATGTTCAAGACTTTCCGGTCTTCTCCAGCAAACCGGGCAGCGAACTAGACAGTTTACTCCTCTGGTACTTTGAAAACCATAAATTAATTAATTCTAAAAGTCAAAAATTAATTATGACCGTCAGAAGTTAATTCTTTCTATCCCATAATTTGATATATAAACCAACCATAAAGGTTGTAAAGCGCCATAAAAGGACCGCTTTAGTGACTCATTAATCACTTGTAACGGATCATTAAGGACCCAATAACATCAAATAAAATAACTGATGTATTAAAACCCAAATAAATGGACCAATGAGGCCATTAATTGGTTAAGAGCCAAAGTTAGCTTGCTAAGCTTTCCGCCCACTTTAAAAAAAAAAAATAAAATTGCTTTAGTTAATCACTAAATTCTTGTAACGTTTAATCAAAAGGCCATTAAAACCCCAATAACATCAAATAATTGATGTAATAAAACCCAAATAGGGAATTAACGACACCAAGCGTTAAATCAGTCCGAAACGGACGAGTGCAGCCATTAAATGATCATTTTAATGCTCACCGGACGAGCCGGTTCGGAACCCACAATACAAAGGGTTATGGCTTAGGTAAACGGTGAAGGGAGGGAGTATACACGAGAGTGATGCTTATGCAGATTGAGAGAGTTTAAGTTTTTAGATTCAGGGAATTTTTGATGCCCTTAAATCCTGTTTTCCCTCGTTAACCCGCTATTTTTTTGGGTTAGTGCAACAACACATCGACGAATTCAATTGCAGGCGTGAAGAATAAGACGGAATTTTTTACCAAAAAAGAAAGTTCTAGCATGCATCTCAACGGGAGGATAAAATCATCATGGCATTTAATTCAACGCGTGAATTCGTGAGCAAATTCCAAAATTGAAGACTCGATAAGGGGAAAAAATTTAACTTACTATGCAGAACCTAAGCAAATCCATATTGGGAGAAGACGAAACAACTGGTGCTTCGTCTTCAACCACCACCTGCTCTTCCCTGTCCTTCGATCGGCAGCATGCCACTCCTCCATCCTGCGTATAGTTCACCTTCGAAGGAGACGGAGTTCGCGGCATGCACTGATCTCACTTCTCGGTTGTCCACGATTCAAGAAGCTGAAGCCCCTCTGCACACAACACCGCCATCGATTTTGGGGTTATAGACTTTCCGCCTCGCGATGCAACTCTCTTCTCCCCCTTCCAAACGATGTCGCCGGTAAACTGCTCCTCCATTTTGGAACGGACGACAGTCTCCCGGCAGAGGGCGACGTTCAAGTGATTTTGAGGTTTTGGTAAAGTGAAAAGGAGGATGAATCGTCCCCTTCACTAAATTGTTATCTCCTTTCCGAGAAGTAAACCCCCAAACGGCGCCGTATTTTTATTATTATCTCCTTTCCGAGAATTAAACCCCCAAACGGCACCGTATTTTTCCTTTACAGCAGTGGTAACTATTGGGGTACGAAAAATAATTAAATAGATGAAATTGCAATCTCCCATTAGCATTTGAACTTAACAAAATACAATATAAGTATTAAACAAATTGCAATCCTCAATTATTAATTGAAATTAACAAAATACGAGTAAGTCTAAAACAAAATGTCACCGTATAATTGTAACAAAAGTCTAAATAAAAGTCTAAATAAATTCTTCATAACCCGGTCTAGTCAAACTCAAGTTATCATCGTCTCCGTCATCCTAGATTATTCGAGGATCATCGACAATTGTGTCTTCTTGGTACGCATGTTCTTCGAGAATTTCTTCTTCCTCGGCTAGATTATAGAAATTTCTCGGTTTTGTCTGAATCACTGTGTACCAATCTCGATTTCTGACGCACTGCACATAATACACTTGAAGTGTTTGACTCGCCATAACATACGGTTCATCGGCATGGCGCTTACGTGTCCTATTAAGGGTCACCACGCCGTGGCCATCCCTCCTGTAGCCTAAACCTTCTCTCGTCGTGTCGTACCACTCGCATTCAAATAGCACCACGCGAAGGCCTTCGGTATAGCGAAGCTCTATGATATCTTCAATGACGCCATAGTAAGGAATTCCAACGACATCTTCACGTTGCACCATTACTCCGCTATTTTGACCTGTCTTGGTCGTTTCATGCTTTCGCGTGTGGAATCTAAAACCATTTATGCAATATCCTGTGAAGTGCAAGACTTGTTTGTCGGGTTCTCGAGATAAAGTCAACATAGAATGATGCAATGTTGCAACCTTTTCTTCGTGCATTTTTCCTACCTATAAAATTAAATTAAATTTGAAAAAAGGCAACAATTTTTTTTTTATTTAATGAGTTGAGCTGAGTGGATACCTCGAGTGACGGCAAAATTCGTGGTGGGGGCCTCTTCTCTACTCTGCCATTAAATTCCTTCTTTTGCTTCCGCCACTTATCATCTGCTGGCAAAAACCGACGATGGTACATATAGCACTCCTTACGTCCATTCGTCAATCTCAAATGGTCTGTTTCAGCTCCACATGAAGGACAAGCCAATTAACCTTTTGTTGCCCATCTAGAGAGATTAGCATAAGCCGGATAATCATTGATGGTCCATAGAATAGCTGCTCGCATGATAAAGTTCTCCTTCTTAAAAGCATCATAAGTCAACACACCGTCAGCCCACAACTTCTTCAGATCATCGATGGCTGGTCTAAAAAATAAGTCAATATTATTGCCCGGTGCTTTTGGGCCAGGAATGAGTAATGTCAAGAAGGGGAAGGGTGTCTTCATGCACTTCCAGGGAGGGAGATTATACGGGCATAGAAGAACTGGTCACGTACTGTGAGTGCTCTTCATATTACCGAATGAGTTGAATCCATCGGTAGCTAGTCCCAACCTTACGTTTCGGGCTTCAGCACCAAAAGTTGGATCGTACTTGTCCAAAGTACTCCAAGCCTCACCATCAACAGGATGCCTTAATATCCCATCTTTAGAATGGTGTCCAGCATGCCAAACCATGTCTTCGGCATTTTTAGAGGACACGAATAATCTCTGTAGTCGGGGCTTGATTGGAAAATACCGTAAAATTTTGAACGGAATTTTTTGCACTCTTCCCTTCTTATCCTTATAAAATTTCTTGTACCTTGACTTCTCGCATGATGGGCAAGATGTCACCATCTCCAGATCGCCGTAATATAATACGCAATCATCCACACATGCATGTATTTCTTCACAATGTAGCCCAAGACCCTTCATTAACTGTTTTGCTGCATAGTTATTTTTTTGCAATGACTCCGCCATAGGCAATGCGCTCCGAATGAATTTCAACAACTCGGTAAAGGAATGATCAGTCCAATTGTTCAACCACTTCATGTTCATGAGCTTCACGATACATGACAATCTTGACAACTTTGGATCACAACCTTCATACAACGGTGATTGCGCTTCTCCAAAAAGTGTGTATAGCTTTTGGGCTTCTTTGTTAGGTTCTTCAGGCTCAGGATCGGCCTGTGGAGGTAAGAGGTCATTAAGAACACCGAGCATGTCATCCAAGTCCATATCGACATCACCGGT